GCTCCTCATTGCACTGCCACCTGATCCACCATCTTGTTTGTTCTGACAATGCAGAGTTTTGACAACTAGTTTGTTAACCTTGCCTTCCTAAGACGCGGGTTCATTTAGCAGTTTATACTATGCACTCTCTATCTGCTGCCTTGTTCATGTGTAAAAATGTGATCTTTTTTCGCTAGTTAAGTACAAAATCTTTATTTTCATCACTGGCCTTTTCCCATAATAATTCTTTGCAATTTTCTAGTAATATCTGAGAGTATTTATACCTACTTTAAAAACCAAACAAACAGACAAATAAAACTCTATTTTCTGGATTTTCACAACATCATATTAATTTAAAGTTCTTTTTTTTCCTCTCCTTTATTATCCTGTGCATTTTAAATGGTGGCTACAAAATAGTGGAAAGAACATTGGGAAGGATTTCAAAAGATCTGTGGCTAAATCCCAGTTTCATTAGCTGCAGGTTGTGTGACCTCTGGCATGTCACTTAACCTCTGATCCATTCTTTTTCAAAATGAAAAATGCGTGAAGTAGGGGTAATTATTACTGCTTCATCAGAGTTTTAAAGGAGTCAGAGCACTTTGGTGTGAATGGAAAGGATGTTAAAGATTAGGAAAATGAGTCCACTCACCTTGGGGACCAAAGAGTCACAGCTTCCCTGCTGATACTTTGTATTTAGTGATTTTTTATATAAGAGGGCTTCAAAAAGTTCATGAAAAAATCCCATTGTCTGTAATTCCATTGTTTCATGAACTTTTTCAAGTTTCCATGTATAACACAGCATTTTCCACTTTAACCATTGTAAGTGTACAAATCTGTGATCTTAACTACATTCACCATAACCTCTTTCCAAAACTTTCATCACCCCAAACAGAATCTGGGTATCCATTAAGTAAACATATGATATTTTGTGTTCTTAATGTTTGACAAAGTGGTTGGGAATAATTGTTGATTAGATTTACATAAAGACAGCAGGCTTTCTGAAATCATCAGTGAGGCGTGGGTTGGAGAAAGGGGTGTGAAGGGAACAAAATCATCTGTGTCGCATAGTGTACGCCAAAAGAGAAAAACAACACACCACTTCTGGCCTGCTTTCCGTAGAAAACAAGAAGAAACACCCATGTTTTCATGAAAGAAAGGAACAAAGGTTAACATTGTACTAAATCATTTGACCTGTGCTCTGTGAGCCTGAGGAAGAAGGCCTTTGTCTGCTTAGAAAATCATCAGGCTTCTCTTGATTGAAGGAGGAAACAGTGGGGGTTCTTCCCATGTGTCTCATCTGGGGAAGTGTTTTCACAGAGCAGTACATGGGTGGTTGCTCAGCTCTGTCAGCACACTGTGATAATCCAAAATTGTGGGCTCAGTTGGTTACTTGTTTGTTTATTCAATTGCATCCAGCTATGTTTCAAAAACGCTTTGAGGTGGCCCTGTCTAATAGTTAAGTTTTGCTTTGTTCTTTGTGCCTTGATCATAAACTTAGTCATCAAGAGGACAAGTGGTCTTTTCAAGGAACACTTGAGTGAATACAGCAGTACAGACTTACCGCAATAACTAGGAAAATAAATCAGAGTGTATCTTTGTTTTTGGTGTTCTTTTTAAACAGCAGTTTCAGCAATAGTTAAAGGATGGCAAAATTGAGTTAAAAATGATTAACAGTGTGCTGTGCACTAAGTCATCATGAAGGTTCTTTGGAGTTGCCCTACCCCACTGCCCTGTTCTTGGCACATCCAGAACTGCATTCCTGTGATCATCAACTTCAGAGAATTTTTACCCAGATCCAGGGTCCTTTACCAGAAACACTCCCAAAGCTAGGACGTGTCACGAGAGCCTGAACAAGTTGTTCATGAAATTACTGATCATTTTCACCCAAGCTTTTGTTTTTTAAGTTTTGTTTTCAGGTTGGTTGCTTTGTTTTAAGAAGGTCTATTTTTTTAGAAAACAGACCATTTTGTTAAGAGAAGTTTTAAGTTTATAGAAAAGTTGTACAGCAAGCACAGAGTTTTCTTTTGTCCCTCTCCTCCCCCCACATGCCCACATATACATTTCCCCCTATTATTAACATCTTGAATTCCTGCCACAACCCTAGATGGTGCAAAGGTCAACATGCTCCATTGCTAAACAAAAGGTCAGAGATTCAAATCCATCCAGAGGCACCTCAGAAGAAAAGCCTTGTGATAAATACGTACTTTCAAAAACCTCTGTAATTAAAAATCCTACGGAGCACAGTTCTATTCTGAAACATCTGGTCTCAGTGGACCCAATGGCAACTGGTCTGAATACCTGTAGAACATTTGTTACAATTGATAAGCCAAGGTTGACATATTATTATTAACTAAAGTCCA